TTCAATATTTTTAAAAATAGGTATATTTGCAATCTTATTACATTTTAATTATCCCTCAACTGTTTCATTCACAGTTTAGTTCTCACTTTTACTTTCTGACATCTTTCTTTCACATCTTTCTCAGTCTGAGAATTAATTTATTTTTAAGTGAGAAGCACTATAAACCCATAAATTATCTTAATCTTGATGTTTCCAAAAAGGACCAGCAATTAAGTATCTTTTGTTCTTTCCAATACATGACAAGAATGTATTGTCTTGTCAAGAACACATATAAGGGTCTTTTTAAAGTGGTCTTTTGTGTGTAAGAGAGATGGAGAGAGTTGGAGCTTTCAAGATATGAAGGAAGTTAAACATTCGCTGCCACCAAAAAGAGTACTTTTTTCTCAAGGGCATTTGTGTAACTTAACATGCAGATATCAAAAAGCAAAACCCCTAACTTCAGTCACGATATATTGTCCTCTTTCTTCCAATAGGGGAAAAAAGGCCTGGTTGACAGAAACTTACTGGTTAAGTCATATATACCTTGATCAACACTTCAAGGTTCTCTCAGGAAAACAGTCTTTGGCACCAGAAGGTTGTAAGCACAGTACTGAACAATGATAGAAACATTAGAGTTAGATGATTATCTAGTCCAACTGTCTGCTCCACATAGGATCATCATGTCTGAATCATTTCCAGAGAAATGTTTATCTCACCTAAGCTTAAAATCTTCTGAGGATGGAGATGTCACTACCTCTCTAGGTAATTTATTCAAATGCTTAATTGCCTTCATAGTTGGAAAATGAAAATTCCCTTGTTGCAATTTAAATTATTACTACTTTTCCTGTCCTTTGAGGCTACAGAGAATGGTTTATCAACATCCTCTTTAGAATCACCCTTTACATTTTGAAGAATGTTAGTAACCCTCACTCCCATGTAGAATCCTTTTCTTTCCTTTCATATCTTTGTATCTCAATTGGTGCCTTAGCTTTCCCAAGTTTTTCCTTGCATACCCACATTACCTCTTATACTCCTCCTTAGTACTTTGGCCAACCATCTATTTTTTTTCTAAGGATATGTTATATTTATGCTGTAATTAACACATTAATCACTTCATACATGGAGAGAAGTCTTTACATACACCCAATTTAAGGTGCTATAAAATGGGAAATGAGCCAAAAAAAAGTTGCACATATAATGAAGAACATTTTTATGGCTGGTTTATTTGTCACCTTAAAACTGAATGTGTGGCTGGGGCCAATAATGAGCTGATTTTCGTCCCTGGCCATCCCGGCGGGTGTAGAGGCAGCTGAAGGACTCTCTGCACTAGGGGCTTTAAACCCCATACCTGGAAATTCTGTCCAGGCTGCTGGAGGCTCCTGAGTGAGGGAAGTCAAAGGGTTTCCCCAACCAGGGTCTTTAAATCCCATACCCAACAGTCTGGCCAGACAGCCCTAGGTGAACTGGACCTGGAGTGTCTAATGTTGGGGCCAACAACCAGTTGATTATCTGCTCCAGTCCTTGGATAGCCCTAGGTTTCAAACCAGACCCAGGACTGTGGGGCCAGGAATGACAGTTAGCAAAACATTGGCTCCATGTGTAGGGCTTTGAATTTACCAGTGCAGGGGGAGCCCAGGACAATAATCCAGGATTATAATTCTAATCCTAGCATCCACCTAGGATGCCAAATAGGTATGGCAGGACTGGGATTTGATCCCTATCCCCAAAACTGCACCTCCTGACATTCACACATGGCATAGCAGGAGGCATGATTATTGGGAGCAGGGATCAGATCCCATGACACCATTAAATAAATGTGTGCTGAGGACCTAATATTCCTTTTTTAAATTTAAATTCATTTAAGAGTTTGCTGTTTAGCCAGGGTGATCTCTTTCTCCATTTCAGATTTTACAGCATAGGGTAATCTTAGATTACAGATCAGGAAAAGTAGTCGTGAGCTTTCAGAAGTTCTGATCATCCCATATCTACCTATGACTCCACTGGTCAGCATTAAATCTCCTGTGCCAAGAAATGAAGCTCAACCTTATAGATGTGGTCTATACATCAACCCTTAACAATTTTTCCTCTATGTCTGTTTAGCATTGGTGCTTCTCATTCTGAAACAGTCATTGCATAAATAACCACAATACCTCAAAGACGACATAAGTACCTCATTTGTTGTTATATATTTATCGTGAGAAGTATTATATAATTGTAACACTAATTGGAGGGACAGTGAAGAAAGATTGGCTTCAGTAGGGAGGCCACCTTAATTTGCATCACTGTTAATTTCATTTTGAGGATTTTTTTCTTCTCTGTCAGCTACTTAGCTGGAAAATAAACATATTGTTTAGTATTAATACTGATAAAGCTTTATACTTTGGAGGCATGATAGCTTTACAAGAATTTTGTCTATTCATATTATTTCTGGAGTTTATAAGACTGTTGGTTTTTATTATGTGGTTTAATTAGCCTGATAATTAGATCAACTTAATACATTGATATTAATCCACTTTCTACTTTATTTTAATTTGCTTTGTTTACATGTATTTTGTTTTTTCTTATTTAGTCAATTAAGTTAATACAATATACAAAGACTATTCCCTAGAGTATATAAAAGGTAACTTCTATGACACATTTTATTGTGGTTTATATGCTGGTTCCTGAAGTTCTCCAATAATTGATGCCCGAATTGAAATATCTTTGGGCTTTGAAATAAAGATAAATTATGTATTTTTTTTCTTTCTATAAGCAGTACCAGTTTCAGAACTTCAGAGAATCTAGTATTGTGGATAAGAGCTGGAAGAACTTAAAGACTGTTCATTTAACTACTACTCCCTATAATACTTCAACACCAAGGTGCTAAAATCTGTGTTTGCGTGTAAAGTTTCCTTTATGTTGGATTTATATGGTGTGTTTTCTTATCTTAGGGCACATCTACACATCACCATAGTGATGTAGCATCCGTGCTTATCTATACTTGACCAGCAGCTACTTCACCATAGTGGCATGCTCCTCCATTATACTACTTCCAAAAGGAAGTGCTAAAGCATAACGCAGTAACAACATTGCCGTAGGGCAACATTTGGACAGGCCCCAACTGTATCAGTTCTTCTAAAGTCTAACGACTGCTATGCTAGCAGTATAACACACATGATATGTATAATGGCATAAACATGTATTGCATGGAAAAGGTTGTTTTCACTGAGCTTGGGTTTCAGGACTTGTCAGAGCCACTTGTATTGCAACATTATTTTCTTTTCAGATTGTAATGTTGCTAATAAGTATTATGTTCTAAAATGCCAAGGTGTTGAAAATAATAATAATTATTTTTCTTATCTTTATTGATTACAGTATCACATAGTTACTAGCCCTTATACTCAATGAAAATTTGATGTTCAATCAAATGCCAGCAAAGTGGATTTCATAAAGTTACATTTTATGTTATGATATCTCTGACTTGTCTGCTTCCTACAGTGCTCAGAGGAGTGTTGGGATTAGCAAGTCTGGTCAATTATTTGGAGTTGGTGGAAGATTTTTTTGAATAGAGCTATGAAGCAGTCAGGAGACTAAAGCATCTGACAGCCTGATTAAGGTTATATAGGAGTGTTTCCAGCTCAGTCAAAAAGAATCTAAAAACAGGAGATAAAGAAGAAAGTCTAAGTGATGGAGGTCTAACAAAGGCCAGGAGGTATATTTCCTGGGCTGCAGCACACTTTAGTCACAGGAAATTACTTAAGACATTTTGTTTTTAAACAATAAAAATCTCAGAATATGATGTAAAAATGTACTTGTGTGGCATTCATTTCTTCTTGGATTGGTGAAATTCTATAAAATGTACTAATGACTTCATTTTTAATTAAATATTGATATAATGTATTTAACTGGACTAAGATTTTTTGGGGAAAAAAACCCCTCTCTTATTGTCCAAATGTACACATGATACAATGAGGTCCTAGTTGTGACTGAAGCATTATAGTGACAAAATAGTATAATTCCCCAAGGGAAAAAAATAAAAATAACATTGGAAATGGAATTCGAGTCTCCTCACTCCCACCCCTAAAACAATAAAAACAAAATGCATTTGTGATAAAAACATATCAGTACTTACCATCAGAAGCCAAGCTAGATTGCTTGCACCAGAAAGCTAATTATGAAATAGTGAAGAGTACATACACACAATTCAGGAATTAAGTTAGAAAGATAATAGGATCATCCAATTTTTGCCATTCACATCATCCATCATTTCAAGAAGGAAATGCTGGTTTGAGAAAAAAAAAACAAAACAAAAAACAAACCTATATTTTCACCTGATGCATTCTACAGCTGGCTGGACAAAATATTAGAGTCTTTTGAGATTGCCCTCTCATGCCACACACATACATCATGCTGTTGATATTCTCAGCATGGTTTTCCCTCTCTTCTTTATCCTTCTTTCCCTTTTTCAGATGTGCACGAGTCTGAATGAAGTATCTTGCTTATATAGAGGAATGAGTATATTTCATTTACAATACGACTTTTGATCAGAGTCATCTCAAAGTGTATGGAAAGTTGTATTCCTGAGAAATTATACAACAGTTAGAGGGCATGAGTTTCCTTTAGGGTTTATTTACAATAGAAAAGCTTATTGTAAAAACACCTATTAACCAACATCATAAATAGGTTAGTAATCAGTGGAGGCAAAGACTGCTATTAACTGCCTTCTAACATATAACTTCTATTCCAAGAAAATGGAATAGAAACTTATTAGAAAATGGACATCCTGTTACAAGATATTCTTGTTTCAAACTAAATGGAAATTGGAAGTCATTTCAAAATTTGTCATGTAACAAAAAAAAACAACCATACTGTAGCATTTAATTTGTGTATTTATAATATGAAATAACTTCAAAATTATAATATATAATGGTAAAGGATAATAAAATGAAATAATTGAAATAACTCATTTTTTCTTTATTGACATGCAATTGTTCTACAAAAATGAGAAAAAACATTATTTAACATTTTTATATTGTGAATTTAATCACATTTTGATATGTTTTGATTTTGATATAATTACATTTGCCAGTGGTAAATTGTAATGTTTATTTTAAAACTACAAAAAGGCTCTTCTTGTTATAATAGGCAAAGTTTCAGTTTTGTGTCCCAGCGCTGGCAGGACTCTAAGGCTGTTAGATGTTACCTTTCCCATGTTAAGTGTTCTTAGGACAGAAATATTCATGCATTAATGCAGGAAAAGATGAGCTAACCTCTGAGCATCTGAAAGTTACACCTCCTCGGGGAAGGATTATCTCTAGCTGGTATCAGGCAACCTATGGTGCAGTAATGTCAGTCTGCTCCAGATTAGATTAGATTAATAGATCTGCAAAAAAAATAAATAAATTAAATAAAATAATCACTGCCCATAAAATTGCTAATCTTTGACCAGTCAAAATATATTCAGTCAATTGACAATATTTGACTAGTCAATTGACTAGGTTACCAACCCTAATATTTATTTGTGTATAGACCTTAGAGAAGTATTAAGCTACTTTAGCTATTTGAAATAAATTTGCCATGTGATCAAGGTAAAAAATGTCAGTGTGTGAACATGGTAGCTTAGTGCTCAGTACTTCTCTTTTTACCTGTTATCTAAATCCCTACCACAATAAGCTGCATTATATTCTATAGTGTATGCTAAGGAACAGTTACTCCACTAATGAATTACACACACTTTAATATCTAAATGCTGTATTTAATTGAAAAGGTAACAGTATTTATATAGTTAATGTGTGTTTATAATAATAACCATAATGGTAATAATGTATAATATTAATATGAAATAAGTTAGTATAATTATACATTTTACACATGGGGAAAACAGAGGCAGTGCAGAAGCAGGGAGCAGACCAGAAATGCTAAGGTCAAAACCGAGCTCAAACTGGCTACAGAAATCAAGGACAATAAAACATTGAAAGAGAAATAAGGGCAACATTGGACTACTGCTGGACCAAATGGGGCAGCTGACATCCGACACCCAGGAGAAAGATAATCTCCTTAATAATTCATTTGCTTTGGTTTTTCACCAGCCCAAGGGGATCACCCTGCTTGACAGGACACAGGATTATGAGGGTATAGGTGACCACATGCCTACATTTGGTGAAGACCTTGTGAGGGAACACCTTGAGAGGCTGGACATACATAAGTCAGTGGGTCCTTATGAAATGTACCCAAGAGTGCTAACCAATAGCACAATCAATGGCAAGGATATTTGAGAACTCATGGTGCTCTGGAGAGGTTCCTGAAGATTGGAAGAGTGCCAGTGTGGTGCCTATCTTCGAGGAAGGAAGGAAGATTCAGAGAACTACAGGCCAATTAGTTTGATGTCAATCCCTGGAAAGATCATGGAAAAAAATATTAAAGAATCCTTCAGCAATAGGCTAACAGAAGGCACCATTCTGAGAGACAGCCAAACAGCTATATTATGGGTAGGTTGTGCCTGACCAACCTCATCTCCTTTTATGACCAAGTAACACATTGTCTGGGCAGGGGAGGAGATGCTGATATCATTTACTTGGATTTCAGAAAAGCCTTTGATTTGGTCTCCCATGAGGTCCTCATGACAAAATTGGAGAACTGCAGCCTTAACAACCTTATGGTCCTGTGGCTGGGGAACTGGCTACATGGTCAGACCCAGAGAGGGATAGTTGATGGAACTGAGTTAACATGGTGCATGGTGACCAGTGGCATCCCTCAGGGTTAAGTACTCAGAGTAGTACTGTTTAACATATTCATAAAAACCCTGGATTTGGGTGTCAGAAACAGACTAGCTAGTTTTTCAGATGACACCAAATTATGGGGAAGTGCAGTCACATTAGAGGATAGGTTGGGGATTCAGGCTGACTTAGATAGGCTCACAAAATGGGTGGATCAAAACCTGATGACTTTCAATATAGAGAAATGTGAAGTGCTCCACCTCAGGAGAAAGAACCCTCATCAAACTTATAGACTTGGCATTACTACACTCACTAGCACTATGATTGAAGGAGACTTGGGGGTCATGACTGACCGTGAGATGATTATGAGCCACCAATGTGATGCCACAGCTGGAAAAACAAATAAAACCCTGTCTTGCATCTACCCATGCATCGCAACCAAGACCCAAGATATCATACTCCCACTTTATTCAACCTTGGTGAGACTGCAGCTGGAGTATTGTGTCCAGTTCTGGGATCCACACTTTAGGAAGGACATGAAAAAGCTTGAGTGTCCAGAAGAGAGCCATCTGCTTGATCTGAGGTCAAGAGAGCAAGCTTATGTGGAGAGGCTGAGAGGCATGGAACTCTTCAGCTTAGAAAAGAGTAGGCTCAGGAGAGACTTGGTGGCAGCCTGTAAGTATATCAGGGGTGTGCATCAGGGGTTGGACCTGATGATCTCATGAGGTCCTTTCCAGCTGTAATGTCCATGAAATCTATGAAGTAAAGTATTTTTTCCAGAGCCATCCAACAAGTCAATGGCAAACCAAGACTAGAGCTCAATTTTTTGGCAAAATGTGAGTGTATGGTGCAGGCAGTGTCATGCAATATTTCCCCATGCTAGCTCTATTTCACATAGTTTAAGAACTTGAAATGTTATGAATGCTTTGGTGTGCAACTCCTCCCAAGAAGCAGGAGTTATTAGCCTGGGTGTGGCAACATATTAAGGTGGTAATATTATTTCTGTTTTCTGAGCTAATATCCATAGAACAACCTCAGGGTATTTTTGCAGCCAGGCAGGTAGGAAATGAAAAGTTCACAGTTCAATGTGTCCTATGTATTACAGCCCTCACTACTAGAATAGATTGCCTTATTTCTAAGTGTGTTATGGAAAGAGCTTAATTGGTAAGAAAAACCTTAATGTCGTTATAGTAGTAATAGTAATGGAAAAGAACTCTGTTTATATAAAGTACAAATCCCACAGTAGCCAGTAGGGTTGTGGATGTCCTCATAGGAAACAAAACCTGGGACATTCAGTTCAACCCCCCCCCCCCCCCCCAAACCAGTGGGACCTTACTTCTCCATTTCTTTTCCAGCTAACAGTTTTGCTGAGAAAGGTAGCTGAAAGACAATGAGCACATCAGGCTACAAAGATCTGTATTCTTCTGAACAATTCCAAGGATATATTGTTCAATGACCAAAATTTGGTCAAATTTTGAGTAGGGAACTGAGTTGTGTTCCTCAAAGTTAAATTTTAGTTCTATAGCAGTTATTACAAATATTGAAACAATGGAATTAGTTCACAGTAATATTCTTGTCCCTTCTTTCCTGCAGCAGAAAGAGTGTGT